ATAAATGGCCACCAAGATTATCCCTTCTAGGTTCCCAGGAGAGTACACACGCCTGCCCCAGGGAGCACACGCAAACAGAAATTTGAAAGCTAACTTGTTGGCCTTTGGCTTGCTGAGAGCTGCTGCTGCTCTTAGTCTCTGCTGGGAAAATGCTAATCATGCCAACTACCTTGAAAAGCCCTGATTTTTGCATGAAAGTAGTTGTATCTTGGGTGAAACTTGATATCAAACCTCTACCCAACAAAATGAATTCTGCCAAACAGTGGGATTACTGTCCAAAATAGAGCCATACTGATTACTGGTATGCTCATAGAGCCCACTGTGCCATCTGAGGAGCAGTTGTCCTTATCAGGGAGTGTTCAAGGGCTGCATTCCAAAGGCTGGCTGACCTGCCAACCTCAAGCAAGGAAAGAGGAAAGAAGAGTGATTATAGCTTTGCCTCCACTGCAGATTAGTTTATTTTACAATTAATAAGGAGTATAGGGGGCCGGGGATTTAGCTCAGTGGTTCTGCCGCTTGCCTTGCAAGCACAAGGACCCGAGTTCGATCCCTGGTACCAAAAATAAATAAATAAATAAAAGGAGTGTAGGACACTCATACGATACTTTCATGTCAGTGGGATCCCAGGTTCCTCTATAAATTAGTATGCTGGCCTCAGAAACTTCCTGTAGAGCTAGGTGAATAGTCTCAAGGAGAAAGCTAATCAGCTGTGTTCTCTCCCCGTGCCATGCCTCACAATGATTAGCTCCAGGACTTCCATCCACTGTTTGGCAGATATACACACCACTAGTTGAAAGTGCAAAGTATAGGGGTTGAAAGGGGTTGAAGATATTGTCTTGGGGTTAGGGAAAACTATTTCAAACAAGATGCACCTTTGAGGGGGGTGTTGTATGTTCTCACATTTTGTCAAGGTTTGCAGTTCACAACTCAATTGAGAAAGTGGCAACTTAGGTTCTGCATAAAGAAGTGTTTGTGGTGGGGTGCAAATGATCCTCTCATGGACTTCTGCACACAGTTCTATGTTGCAGCTTATATGGCTCCAAACCTACCCCACTTTGAGCTTCTTTCTTAATTGGAGCTGGGGCCTATAGGACTCTATTACTTTTCTATAGCTGTTTACAAACAACAAAGAACTTAGTCAGCATAAATTTATCATCTCTCAGCTTCCATGAGCCAAGAGTCCAGGTGTGACTTAACTGGATTGTCTGCTCAGGGTCTGACTAGACTGTAATCAATGAACCAGCCAGGGCTGAGGTCTCTTCTGAGGTTCAAGGTCATCTTCCAAATTGGTTGTTGGCAGAATTCAGTTTTTTGAGGCCACAGGGCTAAAGTCCTTGGTTTCTTGATGACTGGCAATAGAAGGTTGCTCACAGGTACTAGAGGCCACCTGCATAGCCTGCCAGGTGCCTCTCCACAACATGGCAGTTTGTTCCTTTAAGGGCAACAAGAAAGCATCTGCTGCTGCAGCTTCAAATTTGACTTTTGTGGCTGACCTCTAGATCCTCTTTTAAAAGTCTCACCTGATTAGATTAGAGCCATTTATATTCATGTATATCAGGTCTAAAAATCTTGGGAGGCATTTTAGAATTCTATCTACCAGACTCTATAAAAAACATTTTATCCTATTAGATTGTTTCTTTTTAAAAAAGAAAAACAAGAGGCCAGCTGCTTTCCATTAGCATTCTCCATTCCAGGAAGGCAGCAAAGCTGCCAAGCAAAATCTTCTTAATTCTGAACCTACATCAGGCTGTGGTTAAACAATTTTAGCAACCTTGGAAGATAGGCCTTTATTCCTTGTTTTTCCTCTTTTTTCCCTCTAGAGGCCTGTTTGACCCTCAATTGAGAGGGCAGTGAAGGAAAAGACAGCCCTGGGGCTTAAGTGAGAATAAACATGCATGTTAATAATGACTTGATAATGCAACTTTATATTCCTGCTGGGCCAGAGTTCCTGATAACCATTATTGCACGACTTAATGCTCTTTGGATGTAGCTCTGAAGCTCTCTTATGCACTGCACAAAAACTTATCTTCCCTCTTTCCTTACTAAGCTCACCGGCTTTTCCATAGGACTTCATGCAGAGGGGTCCTTTACTTAAAACATGTCTCAAATTGTCCCTATATGTTTCAACAAGGGGGCCACATTCTCCACTGATTTCTATGTGCCACTCTAATAGCCTTTCCTACTTACTCCTGAATTCATCTTTCTACAAACCCATATAGTAAGCACCTTCTGTGTGCTTAGTATTGTGATAGGTGCTGATGATGTCCCTGTACTTAAGGTGGCAGCAGCTATAGCAAAGGTATGGGCATAGGGCCAATGCCCTGGAGCAGAAATTGTTGCCTTTGAGCTGTGTCTTGAAGAATGTGTCAGATTTCAAGGACATAGGGATTAGGAGGATGGTGTTCTAGCCAAGTGTGCAGCCTGTGCAAAACACAGAGGAAACAAAAGAACATGGTGATTCTGGGCGACCTGTGAGTGGAGGTGGACTACGTGGAGAGTGGGGGCGCAGGGAGCCCAAAATTTCAGATGGCCTTGAGTGTTGTGAGCTTGGCTTTTATCCTGTGAACAGCAGGAATTTGGTGAATAAGCTTTAGCAGGGGAAGCTCATGACATTGTCACTTTTTTGAGACACCAGTAAGGCAACACTTTTGGGTGAGTATCATAAATGAAAGTATAGACCAGATACTCATTAATTGTCCTGGTATGATTAAGGAATAAATTCATTTTAAATTTATATCAGAAATAATGAGACGCATGAGAGAAACACAGTGACACCTCTGTGAGGAGACATGAGAAGTGTTAGTCAGCATTGTGTCACTGTGACACAATACCTGAGAGAAATCAACATACAGGAGGAAAGAATTATTTGGTTCACAGTTTCAGATGTTTCAGTTCATGTTCACTTGGCCAGGTTGCTTTAGGCCTGTGCTAAGGCAGGACCTTATGGTGGAAGGATGTGGTTGGAAGAAAGCTGCTCAGCTCATGGCGGCCAGGAAGCAGAGAGAACTTGGTTTTATAACAAACCCCTTTCCCCAAACCCACTAAGCTATGAATCTATAAATGGGCTAATCCACTGATGAGATCAGAACCATCATTATCCAATCACCTCCCAAAGGCCCTACCTCTGAACACAGCTGCACTGGGTACCAATCCTTGAACACATGAGCCTTGGGGGACATTTAAGATCCAAATCATAAAAGGAAGCAAAGCTCTCTTTAATAAGGTCAGACTGTGGATGAAAGGAAAGAATTTCCATCAGTGAAGTGGCTGTTAAGTAGAAAGAGAAACCCCTCAACCTCCACAAGAATCTAGCCACTACTTTTTTAAAAAAAATTTATTCTTATTGTACTTGTTTGCAGTACATAATGATTGTATTCATTGTGGGGAGTTGGTACATGTACATTACACATCTTAATTTTTTTATCCACTTCCCTTCCTCCCCCTTCCTCCAAATCTTGCTCTCCTTCCTTTTACAAAAGATCTATATCCTTGTTTGTTGGTTTGTTTGTTTTTCCAGTACTGGGAATTGAACTCAGGACTTTGCACTTGCCAGGCAGGTGCGGCCCCACTGAGCTAAGTCCCCAGGCCTTATTCTTTTTTATTTTGCTCTTTAATTTATTTATGCTTTAAATTTCTCATATAAGAGAAATCATGTGACATTTAAGGTTGTGTGTCTGAATTATTTCACATAACATTACGGTCTCAAGGTGCATCCATTTTCCTATCAATGACTCAAGTTCATCTTTCTTTCTGGCAGAGCGGTTCTCCACTGTGCATAAATACCACATTTCCTTTACAGCCACAACTTTTACTGTTGACCAAAAGGTGGTTCTTAGATTATTTCTTTTTACTTCATTGAATTTATGTACTCATTTAATAAATGATTGTATTGAATGTCTGCTATTTCTTTCACCTGCCCCATTTAATCCACCAGTAAGTCCTTTGAGTCTTCTGTTCTAGGTACCATTCTAGGTTCTGGGAATAGCTGGGATGAACAAAATAGACAAAGCTCCTTCCCTCGTGGAGTTTCTATGCTAGTAACAAAGATAGAGAAGAAACTAATAGTAAATTAGTTATATAGAACCTGATTTTGTACCAACTCCCCATGAGGAATGTAATCATTATATACTGCAAATATGTAGCAATAAAAATAAAATATTAAAAAACAAAAAGAATATGATTTCAGGTAGTTACATGTGATATGAAGATGTTGATAAAGGATAATGTGATGGAGAGGTGGGGAGTGCTCTAACTAGAATGATCATGGAAATTGTCTCTGGGGGAAGTGATAGTGAATGCTTGAATGCTACAAATGAGCCAACCAGCCATGCAACTGTCTAAAGAGCCCTCCTGGAAGAAGAAGCAGCTAATACAAAGATCTTGAGATTGAAAGGGGCTGGATGTGTTTGGGACTACCAGGAGCTCAGTGAGACTGGAGCAGAGGGACACAATGGGAGGGTAGCAGGGCTAATGATCAGTGGGGCATGGAAGTGAGGCCAGATCACATAAGACCACATATGACAAGGGGCTGGGATTTTACTTTGAGCTAGAAGGCAAACCACTCAGGGCACTTTTGAGCAAGGGGCTGATACAACTAATGTGCTGATGTGGTAGCTTAGTGTGAAAAGAGGAATGGAATAATATGTCATGATTACATGTGGAAATAATATTTTGGTTATATTGGGTTAAGTAAAATACATGATTAAAAGTAGTTTCACCTGTTTTAGGGGGTTGTTTTCATCATTATTTTTAAAATGTGGCTATTAGAAAACTTAAAATTACATATGCTGCTTGTAATTTTGCTAATGTTAACATTTCTATTTAATGTTGCTAGTCTAGAAATGATTGTAGATCAGAGGGCCAAGGACAGAGGCCTGGGTGCTACAACATTTCAAGATTCCGGAAGAGGAGGAAGATCCAGCCAAGAACACTGAGAAGGAACAGCCAATGAGGTAGGAAGAAAATTAGAGGAATGTGGTGTTTTGAAAGGCAAATGATAAAATTATCCAGATAGAAGGAGTGGTCAAAAGCGGTGTCAGGTGCCATCAGAAGATGTCTGCTGGATTTAAGAAGAGCAATTTTGGTGGAGTGGTTAGAAGAAGTTGAGTTTGGAAGCCTGGTTGGACAGAGCTTACAAGAATAAGAATTGAGGACATAAAGGTAGTGAGTATAGCTAACTCTTGAGTTTTGCTTTGAAGAGATGCAGGGAGATAGGGTGGTAACAGAAAGTGGGTTTAGAGGTTTGTGTGTTTTGTTGTCATTGCCAGTTTGTTTAAGAGGGCAGATGGTTCTACATGTTCTAACTGTGTGGTTGGTTGACAGTGGTGTTCTCAGCGCCTTTAGGATTTGTTTGGGGAATTAAAGCAAGTGTGTCTGAAAGAATACCAGATCATGTGAACTCAAGGGTTAAAATGAATTGTTGGATTAATGCTTCAGGTGTTTAGATGCTGCCAACATACTCTCTTTCCTTGCTCTCCCTTTTGATTTAATATTTTTCTCTTTAGTGTTTATTTCCTCTAATTCTTCTACCCATAGCAGTCGTGGATCAAGGGCAATGTAGCCTATTGTGGCCAGGCATTTTGGGTAACAGGCTCCTTTTTCATGGGCTTCTCTAAAGTGCAAAGGTAATTTATTTCCAATGTCTAAAAAGGCTTCCTTAGTGGCAGAGCCTAGGGGTGGTGCCATGTTTATTAAAATGGGCAAGAATAGCTCAGTGATTCTTCATCTATCACCCCAAGAAACCCTGTCCCCTTATCTCTAAGCAAGAATTTCTCCCTGTCTAAGCATTTGCCTCTTCTTGGAATTTCATGTTAATAAAATTGTCTTTTTAAAAGGAAGAATTCGTCTTAATGGAAACCCCATTTGTACAGTTTTTCTTGAGTAGTTTAAGAATTTAACTAAACAATAAGGGGTAGGATGAAATGATTATGCTATGTTCTGGATATCAAATGATCCTCTTTTTCTTTGTATTTTATTTTAGTGATCCTATCATGACTGAATCATCAAGTGAAGTTTCTAGCAATCTAGAAGTTCTGGAGGACAATGATGAGGGTAAGTAACCCAATAAATCCTTGATAACTAGCCCTAGGTTAGCCCCTAGGGAAAAGAACCAAGCCACATGAAAACAAGTTTATATCAAATTTCTGATAACATTAGGCGCACTGCACATTTGCTTTTCAGTTTTCTAATCTCTCTGCTATCTTCAATTTTTATAGTGTAAAGGTTTGTCCAAGGCTCCACAAACTTCTTTGGAGATGGTTACTAGGTTCTACTTACTCAGGCAGAAATATTTCTGCTTAATCAGAAAAATAAACGGAACAGTCCATAATCTGACAAATTGAACTGAGGTTTTACTGTAGATAGTAATCTAGATTTAACCAATGGAGGAATTTGTAATTTGAGGAGTAAATGGGGTTAGAAACAAAAGATGCCACCACAGGCTTCTGTTAAGTAAGGTTCAATTTACAAAAATTCTCTTTTGAAACACTTATTCAGATGTGCCTTCTAAACTGTGGTGTTATTTCTGAGTGACAGGTGATCATGAAAGGAATCAGAGATAAGTCACAATAATAAGATTTTTTTTTGTATTACTAGAGATCAAACCCAGGGCCTGCACACTGAGCTACACCCTAAGCCTTTTCTATTGTTTTTATTTTGAGACAGAGTCTCCTTATGTTACTAATTACCCAGGCTGGGCTCAAACTTGTGCGCCTCAGCCTCCCAGAGTGCTGGGCTTACAAGTGGGCCCCACCATGCTCATCTGTGATTCTTGACACATACTATGCTAAAAAAAGGAATCATAAAACATAAAGTGAGACATTGAATTTAAATATAGAACTGAATTTAACAGTTAATTGGGGTTTGTTGTTGTTGTTTTGGTTTTTTGCTGAGTTTTCCTTAGTAGGGTGTGGTGCAGAAGACTTGCCTCTTGCCTGGTAAAGACAGAGGGAGGGGACCCTGGCTTGAGTTCCTGAAGGCCTGACTCAAGGCCTCTCTGGGACAGGGGATGCTTAGATTTTCACTTCCACATTAGCACTGCTTAGTGGTGGGTCTCAGAGAGGGTGATCAGGCGCTCCACCACATTTACTAAATGAATGAGAAGAACAGATGAGTGAAAGGCCCCTCACCAAGGCAGACCCAACTCCCAAACCAACTGACCTATCCTTTTGGGTATGAGCTAGACAGTTGCCTGCAAGAGAAGGCGGCAATGCAGTGCATCTTGATGAAGAGTGGAGGTAAGAAAATGCCTTTTCTCTGTTCTCAGAATTTCACTTTAAGATCAAATATTTAGATATGTTTTTCAAACTAGTCAGTGCTAGCTGTTGGGAGGTCAAAGGGAAGAAAGGTTAATTAGAAATGTTTCCTTTCCAAGCAGCAGTGGAAGAGAACAAGGTCATCATTATGTAATGCCTGTGTGCATGGTGGATAAGCAAATGTACAACCCTGAAGCAACAACTTCTTCACTAGGTTTTGCTGTGATTTCTTCTCTGGGGGAAAACATCCTTCTGTGGGCTGTTCTCTGGCATGTGACACAATGCATGGGATGATGGTGTTTAAAACTACCTGCTGTTTGGAAATACATATATAGTCCTTGGCATGGCCAGCAAAATCAATGGCTAGGAGAAGTCCAGGTAGCTTTCAGCTCTCTGTTCACTGACCATAATTGTTACAACTTATCCTGGCATGAGTTATTTAACGTACAGGAAACCTATATGAATATTGCTGGGTGTAAATATGGATTTTGAGCCCTACCTACTCTAGGTCTATCTACCATTTGTGCTTTTAGTAACTATTGAAAATCAACCTGGGAAGGACTCAGCTGCTGGAAGTTTAAAGACAGCCCTTTGAAAAGGAAAGTGTGATGAAAGGGCTGCTTATACACTTGAACATACGGCAACTATCTTGGATTCCATTAGGGTTTCAAAAGTAGCATAGCTTGTGGATGATATCTGGCTTTATCTCACTCCCAGAGCCAAGACCAGAGCTCTTGTTCATAAATGAGGGCTGTTGTAGTTGGGAATAGGAAGGTCTCTTAATCAAAAGCAGGCTGAAGGGGCTGGGGATGTAGCTCAGTGATAAGAGCACTTGCCTAGCAAATGTGAGCCCCTGGGTTCCATCCCTAACACTACACACAAACACATGCGTGCACGTACACACATATATACACATATGCACACATTCATACACGCACATGCACATGCACACAGAATAGACTGAAGACTTAGACTCTTATAGTTGATTTTGCACCCCTGGCAATGGCTTGCTCACTAAGGCTGTGACTAGCTTCCCAGCCACTGCTGTGGATCAACAAACAGCCAACCCACCATGCTGGGCAGTTGCCTTCTTCTGGTGTTGCCTCAGCTCCCTGTTAACTAAGCTACTCCTATACGACCACCATACTCAGAGCTATCCCCAAGGGTGGCTGGAAGCATTCTCTAGTGCCTGTGGTTGAAAGAGACACACATTACTATTTCATAAGGACTAAAAGGTATAATAGATAATATGAAATAGGATGAAAAGGGGCAAAGGGGAGGGGGAAGTGGGAGGGGTAGGGGAAAGGAAAGAAGGGAATGGAATTAATATG